TGCATTATTGCTGATACTAAAGAACCCCATTGTAATATGCCACCTGTTTATCATTATTTGTTTACAGAATAAAAAGAATTGGTTAAAACTAATTTTATGATTGTTGTAGCTTCAGCACACTCAACAGACGAATACATTCAGGCCATCCCACAAGCCTAAAGTCATGCTCCTCCAAAAAACAGATATCGATAAACTTGTAATAGTAATTTAGTAAGAATATATACTTAATCTATCTACGAAAAAGTAGACCCAGTAATGTGGGATATTTTTTTTTTTACGACACTGTTGATACGGTTCAAAAAGGTGGATACAACATATATATGCACGCAAAATAACAACATATTTATAAACGTGCACTTCCGTGTGTACATACACGTTTCATGAACACTAAGGATTGTGTACAGTGTTTTTTTTTTTTTTAGTTGATTGACTGTTTGTGAGAAAATACTCTTGTTTTTTTATGATGGACGTTATCATTTATTTTGATATTCTTTTCCTTCTTTTTCATATTATTATTCTTGTCAATATCATTACTATTCTTATCATAACCATTATTATTATCATTATTACTATTAAAATCATTATTATCATTACTAATATTTTCCTTACTTTTGTGAACATTATTATTGGTATTATTACTATTAAAATCATTTTTATTATTATTGTCATTATTATTTTTCTTACTACTGTGAACAGTGGTATTATTCTTACTATTATTATTATAATCATTATCGTCACTATCATTATTATCAATATCATCATTATTATTATTTATCAATATTATTATTATTATTGTTATTATAATTATTATTATCATTATTATTATTATTATTATTATCATTATTATTATTATTATTATTATTATTATTATTATTGATCTCAGTATTATCATTGCTATTATCATTTTGTTAGTATAATGTTTACTATTATTATCATTATTTTTATTAATATTATTGTAAATATTGTCATAGTTATTACCATTGTTGTTAGTATATTCATTACTGTTATTATATTTTTCATTGTTAGTATTGATAAACAATATTATAATTATTATTTTTGTTACTATTATAGTTATTATTGTTGGGGCCCCTTATTCCACATGTTATTAAATGCTGTTCAGTATCAAAACTTATTATGTTTGATTAATAAATGTTTAAATGTTCTCATTAATTATAGTGTTACTTTAAATAATTAATCAATAATTTCAATGTGACAATATTAATATTATTGATTTGTGCAATTCAAAGTTTGAGTCAAATCTTTATAAGAAAAATCAACACGTTTATTAATTGTGTATTATCAATGCAATATAATAAAATTACAATACCAAACTTTCCGTGAAACAAAAAATAGATAAGACATTATTTAGGTTCTTAACTCTTTAAGTACAAGTAGACAGTTATGACTCACTGTTACATTATTATCAGTCATGAAACTTGATTAAAATAAAATCAACAATATGCAAAACTATGTCATATCGTCATGAATCAAATGTTAAAAAACATAATAGCAATGATTATAAAATTAATGAATTATTCAGTATCTCAAAGTTAATAATGAATTAGATATTACACAAAATAATCATGATCACCAGACAAGCAAAAACAAAAAGTTAATTGTAAACACAAATTAAGTTGTATTTCTATGTGAATATATGAATCAAACATCAAGCAAGTAAAAGTAATAATCATGACAAAAGCAAATACTTGATAAACAGAAAATCAGTCTTACGCACCGTCGGAAAACAACAGAACTCGTCACTGTTTCTAATCCCTGTCCACTATTTTCCATGAAAATGTAAAACTAAAATACTTCAAACGGGCTTACCGAGATGAACATGGCAACTGGACGCTCCTCCGAAACCTAATCCACATTCTCCGACACTAAGCGACCTATTATTTTCGATATGGAACTCATCCGGTCACGCCCTTGCTGGTTATCACTTAATAATTTCTTATATTTGGATAGATACCCGCATCAGGACATTTTTAACACTGTATTTATCACTTCTACCTTTTTTCTACCTGCCACCCGAGTTCATTTCTTATTCACAAACTGATTCACTATGATCTTTATTGCGATCGATTAGAACTGCTTGTTGTTCCGCACTCGTGATTTCTTTTTTGGCCCATCACGTGGTGTCACCCTCTGTCACATGATGATCTCGCCACTTTGACTCATAGGACGCTCCTGTTTTTTGCATCTGTGTTTAGAACTCTTGACCATATTTTTTGTGAGGAATCCGCTCGAGTCCTTGCAATGTTATTCTATTTTTTTGCGTCTCGTCTCAGCTTGTTTGTTTCATCCGTTCCTGTAGCATCCGCTTCGCCCTTCTGTTGTTCACGTGATGATGTCTTCGTATGTCTCCAACATTATTTTTGTTACTATTATTATTAGTATAGTTATTGTTTTTGTTACTCTTATCATTATCATTATTATCATCATTATTATCATTATTATTATTATTATCATTATTATTATTATTATTATTATTATTATTATTATCATCATTATTATTATTATTAATATTATTGTGAATATTGTCATAGTTATTACCATTGTTGTTAGTATATTCATTACTGTTATTACAATTTTTATTGTTAGTATTGATAAACAATATTATAATTGTTATTTTTGTTACTATATAAATGTTTAAATGTTCTCATTAATTATAGTGTTACTTTAAATAATTAATCAATAATTTCAAAGTGACAATATTAATATTATTAATTTGTGCAATTCAAGGTTTGAGTCAAATCTTTATAAAAAAAAAAAAAAACAACACGTTTATTAATTGTATATTAGCAATGCAATATAATAAAATTACAATACCAAACTTTCCGTGACATTATTTAGGTTCTTAACTCTTTAAATACAACTAGACAGTTATGACTCACTGTTACATTATTATCAATCATGAAACTTGATTAAAATAAAGTCAACAATATGCAAAACTATGTCATATCGTCATGAATCAAATGTTAAAAAAAACAAAGTAGCAATAATTATAAAATTAATGAATTATTCAGTATCTCAGAGTTAATAATGAATTAGATATTACATAAAATAATCATGATCACCAGACAAGCAAAAACAAAAAGTTTATTGTAAACACAAATTAAGTTGTATTTCTTTGTGAATGTATGAATCAAACATCAAGCAAGTAAAAGTAATCATGACAAAAGCAAATACTAGATAAACAAAAAAATAGTCTTACGCTCCGACGGAAAACAACAGAACTCGTCACTGTTTCTAATTCCTGTCCACTATTTTCCATCACAATGGTAAACTAAAATACTTCAAACGGGCTTACCGAGATGAACATGGCAACTGGACGCTCCTCCGAAACCTAATCCACATTCTCAGACACTAAGCGACCTATTATTTTCGATATGGAGCTCATCCGGTCACGCCCTTGCTGGTTATCACTTAATAATTTCTTATATTTGGAAAGATACCCGCATCAGGGCATTTTTAACACTGTATTTATCACTTCTAACTTTTCCTACCTGCCACCCGAGTTCATTTCTTGTTCCCAAACTGATTCACTATGATCTTTATTGCGATCGATTAGAACTGCTTGTTGTTCCGCACTCGTGATTTCTTTTTTGGCCCATCACGTGGTGTCACCCTCTGTCACATGATGATCTCGCCACTTTGACTCATAGGACGCTCCTGTTTTTTGCATCTGTGTTTAGAACTCTTGACCATATTTTTTGTGAGGAATCCGCTCGAGTCCTTGCAATGTTATTCTATTTTTTTGCGTCTCGTCTCAGCTTGTTTGTTTCACCCGTTCCTGTAGCATCCGCTTCGCCCTTCTGTTGTTCACGTGATGATGTCTTCGTATGTCTCCGACATTATTTTTGTTACTATTATTAGTAGTATAGTTATTGTTTTTGTTACTCTTATCATTATCATTATTATCATCATAGTTGCTATTTTTTTTGTTATTCATATGATTCATAGTGATAATCATTCATAATGTCATGTTACTGACTTTCATTTATCATTATTGTCGTCGGCCTCATGATCGAATCAGTTCTCCTCTACAGTCCTCATCGTTCAGTTTCTCTATATCCTTCCCTTCCCTAATCCTCTGCGCTTTTCTCTTTTCCCTCATCACCCTTAAATTTACCTTCCCTTACTCTCCCTTTCCCCTTTCTCTTCCAGCGGCAACCTCCCTTCACACCTTCACCTTCGTTGCCTACCTTCTCCCTCACACCACCATCCTCTCCTCTTCTTCCTTTCTTTCTTCTTTTTCTTCTCCTCTTTCTTCCCTCCTTTTTATTTGATCCTTCCCGCGCTATCTCCTTCCTTTCCCTCCTTTCACCTATCCGTACGCTCCTCCTTTTCCTCTCCCTTCCTCTTCAACGTTTTCCCTCACATCTCTCCATTCTTTCTCTGGCTCTTCCCTACCGTCTTAGTCGAAGGAGACAATTCAGATTGAGCCAGTGATCCGCCCTACCTTCCTCTCTCTCTCTCTCTTACCGTCTCTTTCCCATTCCCTTCTTTTTCCCGCCCTCTTTCTCTCCTACCTTCTTTTCCCCCTTCCCTTCTACCTCACACTCCCTTTTCTACCCTCCCCTACCCGTCCTTCTTCCATCATCCCTCTCTCTCGCCTATATTTTCCTCCCTTCCCTTCTTTCTCTCCCCGTCGGGACGCTCCGCCCTCTCTGCCCCGAACGCCGCCACTGACCTCCTTGGCCAGCGTATATATATAAGGTCGCGCTGTAGTCTGGCCATTCCACTCCCTCTATCCTCGTCCTCCTGTACCGCGGTCCCTTAAGACAACCGAAAATGAAAGTATGTCTGAACTGCCGCCATAGGATTTTCCTGAAATTTGTTTGCGAGTAGCCTTGAGGATTTACCACTATAACCATCTTTTTGGATTAGCGTACCTCATCGGTTAGGTGATAAGTATAATCTGGCGAGATCAATTGTATAGGTTGGAAGAATTGGGATTACTTTGCATAATGTGTTACCTTACTTTGCCGTTTTAGGTCTTCGTCATCGCCGTCGTCCTCACCGCTGTGCTCGGGGCTCCTCGGCCGCAGCAACAGCAGGCAACAGCGTCCGTTTATGTACGTTAAATAGTTTCTATTGAGCCTAGTTTCTAACAAGGACACGTTTTTCATGTAATGCTTTTCAGGGGCCCTTTCACTCGAAGCTTTTCAGGAGAACTTGTTTTATTAAAATTTTATCGGATTAGTTACTTGACTGTTCATTTTAAAATGCATTCATTCTTAAACTTCCAGGTCATCTTATCACCATAACATCTTCAGTCTTACTAGAAAGAGTTTCTCAAATCCTAGATAGTTAAGGGTTATGTAGTGTGGTCTGATTTTCTAAGCCTCATAATATCTCCTGTTTTGTTCTCACGACCCAATCCCCTCGCGCTGCAGCCGATCATCCCGTACTCGTACCAGTACGAGACCAACGACGCCGCCACCGGCAACTTCCACAACAAGGCCGAGATCAAGACGGCCCTCGGCCACGTGTTCGGCTCGTGGTCCGTCCTCATGCCCGACGGCTACATCTACACCACTTCCTACAACGTCACCGGAAACAGCGGCTTCCTTCCGGTCATCGTGAAGACGCTCCCTCAAGCCTCCGGCGCTGTGGCCTCAGCAGCCGGCGCTGGAGGCTCTTCGGCCTAAATCCAGGTTGTGTTGCCTTGCCTTGGCCTTCGTGGCCACCCGCGTCCTAAGTCATTGCGGTTCTTGGGCTCCTTCGCTCTTGTCCGCCTCCTTCTCTGGTCCTCACGCCGGCGGTAAATTTGCTCTGAATTTCCCAAATGAAGTTAATTACCTTGTAGCAATTAAAGAAGAAACAGAAAGAGAGACAGCGGAGAAGAGGAGAGGAGAAGGGCGATTGACAGAGAACCACAAATTTTCTTGTAAATACCTCTTCCGAAATGACTCTGCGTTGCTTGTCATTCTATTCTCTTAGTTGTATTTTAATATTCTATAGAATGTTTGTTGTTTGTTTATTTCTTTATTTTGTTTAAGTTTGCAAATGATAGATATCCGGATATGTTTTTGTGTATTGCGTATGAATATTGTTCTGTTTTATAAGATATTCTTTATGTTTTTTTACCGAATAAATATTATATATGATACTTATTCTATATTTGTTGTACCTCATATAAGTAAGTGTAGATTAATAAATAAGTGAATACATGAATAAAAAGATAAATAAAACATGAATAAAAAGAATAATAAAACATGAATTCATACATACACACACAGACACACACACACACTCACACACATATATATACTATATATGCACACACATGTATTTAAATACATGTATATCTACATATATATGTATATACATCATATATATATATATATATATATATATATATATGTATATATATCATATATATGTATATATATCTAATTAGATATATATGTGTGTGTATAGTGTTACACCGTGATAAACAGATGAATAATTATGATACTGACACTAGAATGACTGACATACCACCATCATGATAGCGATAACAACTATTCAAAAGCAAGATCGGCTGAGCAAACGTGGTTCGATTGTCCACATCCGGTTCATGGCATCTCCATTCATGCGGGACTATTCTGTTTATGCCGCTGTATCAATATACTTATCGTGTTCGGTACACTAGCAATCAATTACTGTTTTAAGCATGTTCTTACTGGATCTCTGAGGGTAAATATTGACATCAAGGTGAAAGTTCCTCTTCAGACGAATAATTTCCAAAATGGTATATTATTCGTCTGAAGAGGAATTCGTGAAGAGTTCGAAACGTTACGATTCAATTTAACTTCTTACTGTGGCTGTTTTCCTTTCATCTTTGTGTAGACGTTACTGTGTTTGTGTTTGTGTCACTGACATCAGGAAAAAATAATTTCAGTAGTGTGGGCATTCGCACATCCGAGGGACCTGTGATTACGAATATAAGGAATGGGAAAGGTATCAGGTGAAGTCGCTGCAATGTTTATGCAACTATAATTTATACATCTACTCGAGCTCAGTTTCTGTTCTATCATGATATTCATATTATATTTGTGTTATATATGTATATATATAGATATGTATGTATGTATACATATATATGTATATAAATAAATATATATATTTATATACATATATATGTATATATTTACACCGTGATAAACAGATGAATAATTATAATACTGACACTAGAATGACTGACATACCACCATCATGATAGCGATAACAACTATTCACAAGCAAGATCGGCTGAGCAAACGTGGTTCGATTGTCCACATCCGGTTCATGGCATCTCCATTCATGCGGGACTATTCTGTTTATGCCGCTGTATCAATATACTTATCGTGTTCGGTACACTAGCAATCAATTACTGTTGTAAGCATGTTCTTACTGGATCTCTGAAGGTAAATATTAACATCAAGGTGAAAGTTCCTCTTCAGACGAATAATTTCCAGAATGGTATATCATTCGTCTGAAGAGGAATTTGTGAAGAGTTCGAAACGTTACGATTCAATTTAACTTCTTACTGTGGCTGTTTTCCTTTCATCTTTGTGTAGACGTTACTGTGTTTGTGTTTGTGTCATTGACATCAGGATGAAATAATTTCACTAGTATGGGCATTCGCACATCCGAGGGACCTGAGATTGCGAATATAAGGAATGGGAAAGGTATCAGGTGAAGTCGCTGCAATGTTTATGCAGCTATAATTTATACATCTACTCGAGCTCAGTTTCTGTTCTATCATGATATTCATATTATATTTGTGTTATATATGTATATATATAGATATGTATGTATATATACATATATATGTATATAAATAAATATGTATATTAATATATACATATATATGTATATATATAAATATATAACACACATAAAATATACATATAAATATATATATATGTGTGTGTGTGTGTGTGTGTGTGTGTGTGTGTGTGTGTGTATAAACACATACATATGCTGTATCACAAAATTTTCATATACAACATAAAAATATAATCTAAATTACTACTGGCAATTTGTCAAGATCAATGATCCTACAATCAACGAAAATGTTCCTTTGTCATCGTCGCCACCACCCAGGGTTTTGAGTGGAAGGAAACCCCGAGAAAACTCAATTTTGACTCATCTGATTTTAATGTGAATAGCATGACTTAACGGACTTATGGCTCATGTGATGGATTAAATTTATCCCTCTGCTGGCTGTGTAGAAGATACAATGAGACATTGAAAACAGTTTGAATAAATGTCTTTTATTCTGTAATCTAATAATAATAAACAGGTGGTATATTACAATGCGTGCAATATTAGTAAGAATAAGCATTCGAAAATAACAGGAATATTCTTAATCAATTCAAATCTATGAATAAATTTACACCCACCCTTTGCCTACTAATCATAAATCAATAATAATCATGAACATAGATATAATAATAAATGAATAATAAGAATAAGAATAAATAAACAGACAACAAATCACCAACTCAGCGATATTTTCGTTATTTTTACATGGTTGCATAAATAATCAATCCTACATTTCTTTCACTGTTTTCCTTTCCTACACACACACACACACACACACACACACACACATGTACATATATAAGTATAAATATGTATGTATATATAGATATAAATATATATATGTACACACACACACACACATACACACGGACACACATATTGATGTATATATGTGTGTAAATAAAAAAACCCACACACATAGACATATACATGTGTGCTTGCTTGTTTGTCTATACACTTCGCATGCATTTCTAAATCACTGGCCATAGGGTGTGAACTGCGTTTCGATTGCCATGGTTTCCTTCTCCTTTCCTTTATTCTTCTTTTCCTTTTGCTTCTTCTATTTTCCTTCTGTTTCTGTTATCATTACCCTTATCATTATTTTACTATTAATAGTTCTCATTTTTGTTATCACTATGGTTATCATTATCATCACCCTTTTTATTTTCAGTGTTATTGTTATTACTGTTATTATTATTATTATTATTAAAATTGTTATTTGTTATTGTTACTTATTATTATTATTTCTATTATTATTCTATTATTATTATCATTATTACTGTTATATTATTATTATTGTTATGTCATTATCATTATTATATCATTATTATTATCAGTATTATTATTATTTCTATTATCAATAATAATATTATTATTATTACCATTATTCTTATCATTATTACTATTAACATTACTATTATTATTTTTACTGTTATTATCATTATCATTGTTGTTGTGATAATGTACATGTAATAATGATAATGATAATAATAATAATAATAATAATAATAATAATAATAATAATAATAATTATTATTATTATTACTATCATTGGCATTATCATTGGCAATGTAATTATTGCCATCATCATTGTTATTGTCATTATCATCATTATCATTATGATAATAATAATTATTATTATCATTATTATTTTGAATATTGTTATTTTTACTAATATTGCTACTATCATTATCATTATTAGACTTATCATTGTTATTATTATTATCATCTTATTGTGTTATCATTAGTCTTATCATTATTTTATTATTTGTATTACAGTCATCATTATTATCATTATTATTATGATTATGATTATTTTTTTTTTTGTTATTACTATTATTATTATTACTCTTATCATTATTTTATTATTATTATTATTCTCATCATTATTATCGGTATTATCATTATCATTATTGTTATTGTTATCATTATTCTTAACATTATTTTGTTTATCATTATCATTATTATCATCATTATTATCAATACTACTCTTATTGTTAATATTTTTATCATTATAATACTATTATCATTCGTGGTATACTGTTATAATGATACAAATCAACATTCGTACCACTTTCCCAACAGCATTGATGTTATCCTCATTGCAATGTTCATCATGATTGCAGAGAGTACAGTCAATATAATTTCAGCTTTTATGTTATGTTGTTACCATAAGAAGATCGAATCAGTAAACAGCGTAGTTCTCTCTTCTCATTTAATTGTTCATGTTCCCTCTCTCTTTCCTTTCGTTATTCCTTGTGCCTTTCTCTTTTCGCCCTCCTTCCTTCTCCTTTTCACTTTCCCTTACTCTCCCTTTCTCCATTCTCTTCCAGCGGCAACCTTCCTGCACCACACCACTCCTCTCTTCTTCCTCTGCCTCTTCCCTTCTTTCTTCTATCTTCTCTTTCTCTTTCTTCCCCTCCTTTTTATTTGTTCCTTCGCACGCTATCTCCTTCTTTTCCCTCCTTTCACTTATCCATACGCTCCTCCTTCTCTTCTCCCTCCCTTTCCAACGTTTTCCCTCACATCTCTCCTCTCTTTTCTCTGCCTCTTTCCTACCATCTCTCCAACATGTCCCTCCTCTCTCTCTTCTACCTCTTCTTCCCTATTCCCTTTTTCCCGGCCTCTCTCTCTCCTACCTTTCCCCCTTCCCTTCTTTCTCCCTCCCCGCCCTCTCATCTTCCCCCCCCCCCCCCCCATATCCTTCTCACATCTCCGCCCTCTCCCCGCCTGGACGCCCCGCCCTCTCTGTGTGACCAGGACGCCGCCACTGACCTTTTTTTTTTTTTTTTTTTTTTTTTTTTTTTTTTTTTTTTAAGATTTGCGAAGCAGAGGCTCGCCCGGGCTATGCCTATTT